CCAGGAATCTGTACAGTTCAACATGAAGAACAAGATTGATGAGAACTGGTGCTTCCTCCTCATAGGGCCGTGCCCATACCTTGAAGGGAAGAAGAATATAATTCTTGGCATAATCTAACCCGTGTTTGGGATGCGCCCCGCATTCGACGTCCATCCGGAATCGTAGTAGCGTAATAAATACGTATGTAGCCTATACAACGACTTGCGGTGGCCAGCCAATGAGCAAGTCAGTGCTTCTATCCTCCCAGACGAGTCTGGTACCAATAAGAGGAACCCGGGTGGGAGGATGGCTCGGACTCTTTGGGGTATAGAGCTATGACTCAATCCCTTATCATGAATTGTGATTGCTCCAGTTGCCATTACACCATCTGCGCCCTGTACATATTTTATTTGTTATTTGAATCGCCCGAATGTTTTTGGTCTGCACGTGCAATGTTTCTACTGTCCTAAGCGTAATCATTGGCTGCTGCTGGAAATGTGAAAGAAACAAGTGCGACTTTCCAAATGCTTCGATTTGCCTCTATTCTGAGCTGTGCAAACTTTTTAGCAGCTTCTTTAGATTATTCGGTTGGCCTTTATGAGATAGAAGTTGAAAAATTCATTATTCGTCAAAAATATTAAAATTTTTTAGTTCCACCCTTTTTAGACAAGTATTTCTGCTGCTTACTACATGTTTCGCTTTTACAAATGACTACCGGTAATGAGATGGGCTAACTTATTCGATTTTCGACCGTTTTACTAAATGTTTTTCTTGAGCATAACTTATTTAATGCTTCATTTTACGGATTTGCTTGACTAGACGAAAACAATTTACATAATGAATACTCAGGCACCCTGATGTCCATGAATCAAACAATTTTTCAAAAACAGGTGATTCATTTCATCAGGCTCCCCCGGAAGAATGTTTTACATCTGTTTCCTCGTCTACCGTATCCCTGCTTTACAAAACTTGTTTAGAGTTTTTTAGTTTTTTAAGGAGGGATAGGTGGTCTATTGGTCTCGCTTGAATCTTTTTCTACTTTCTTAGGTATCTCTCTCGATTATAGTCTTTGGGTATGTTATTATAAACTGATTGAAATTATGCCCTCCTCTATGTTTTTATGTACTTTTGCTAATTACAGCTTTTCAAGCCTGTTATCGATAAGGTGGTAATTAGTCTTGTTCTACAATGCTTTCTAATCTAATCACGAGTTATCTTCTATACATCGGTGATAATAACAATGTCCTAGTTCTGGAATACTTTTAAGCCACCCCTTTCCTAGAGGATTTTCATTTTCTCGTGTTCGCTTTCACTTTCTTGGCTGTTCAGGCACTTCAGTCTGACCTCCTCTTGTATGCGTGTTATATGGTACTCATTGATTTTACGCGCATACAATCAATGTCCATTTCTTTGACTTACCATTCACGACACCTGTGGAAGGTTTTTAATGAGTCAACTCCTTCATGAACCGCGTCTGTTCCTTGGATTACCTCCTGTATGACTGTCAATCAACGAATATTGATTGGTCCATGAAGGATACCGTATTCTACCGTATCGCTCCCTAACGTCGCCAGTTATGAAGATCGTCGACCGCCTTTGAAAAATCTTCAAAAATCTATTTCCAGATGGATTGCAAAGATCCACCGTTGTTTGATGTGGACAACAACTTCACTCACAATATTTTACAAACCTTATTCCTGTTCCAGCAGTGAGTAATACTTACTTTCTTATTTGTTTACTTATTTATTTTACTACTTTCTTATGAATTCTTCAATGAGATCAGGGGATTCTTGATGTTGATTAAGGGAAAAATCATCAAGATTCCATTCAAGAGTATTATCACTCCGGAACACTCCGGTGGAGATGGAGCTTAGACAACTCCCGTTAGTGGATTGCCGAACTGCATGACAGTAATCCCTCGGCAGCTCGACAATCCACCATTAGCGTCCATAACGAGTGTATCCCAGAGTGACAGAATGCTGACTCAAGAGCATGGGTTTCACTTGAAGACTCGGAAACGCCTTTTACTTACCGCTACAGCCAGCCCTCAAGCTCCTGGCTGTGCCTCTGTGATAGTTTGCTTGTACGAAAACGGAGCTCTTCTGTTTCAGAACATACTCCTCTTTCCATCGCTACATTTCCGTCCTGTTATGTTTATTTGGATTGTTGGCCAATTCAATTCATATATGGGTCCTAACACGACCACGAATGCGATTCAGCTCTGTGCATACGGTATTAGTATGTATTGCCGTTTCCGATATGGGTACTATGACTTCATATTTGGTAAGGGTCGTGGATATTTCGGTGATCCAAGGACTACGATCAAAAAATTTTTTTTCCAGATTTACATGACACGATTTGAATTCATGCAGGAGAGCACTGGATATCCATATGGTTGGGCGATGTTCCTCAAAGTACGTTTCTCGAAGTAATTTGTGATATTATCTGGAAAATTCGAGAAAATTTTCTCCAAATCACACTTTATCATCGATATTTGATTTGAAGGAAAGTTCTAAAGGGGGCCGATCGGAAGTTAGAATGAATTGAACGTGGGCGTATAAATTACACGCGATTACTTCCCTCTAAAACATCTGTCTCTATCTATGGCTATGATTACTTAAACAGATGCTCCGACGAATATTTTTTATTACGAAACAGACATTACGATGGTGACGTTATACTAACTGCAAAAGCAAAGACAAACCCAATAAGCAGGTGCAAGCTTGTCGCTACCCATAGCGGCGTTTGGTCCCAAACGGGTAAAGATAGTGTAGTGCCAAGTGGCGCATTCGGTCCAGGGATCACATCACGGATTGGCACTCGCCTAAGTCAACCAAGCCTTCCATCTCTTCGCAGTCGATTTTTTGGTGCTGAATTGTCTAGGAAGATAAAAACACTGGCCTGTACATCGGCTGAACACTATAAGTCATTGTAAAGGCCACATGCAATCGAAGCTTCACAACGATTCTGAATGGAAGCAAATGTAAGACGCATCCGAATGTCTGGTATCACCTGTATCGTCTGTCGCCTCGATGGCCATAGATTTCATTGAGCTGACGCCGGTAACGTCTTCATTCGTCCCTGTCGCGAATCGATGTAGTCCAGTGGATCGTCTCCGCTCAAGGGGCTCGAGGCGTGGCATTTCTTCCGCTCAGTGCAACGCATTCGTGAAGATGTCTAACGGTCCGTGACCGCAATCTGGTGGCCGTCTCGGTGTCGTTTGACGTTCCTAAGGGTTCAGCCAGCAAACGAGTGAGCTGATGAAGAAACGCGAGAGCAGGAGCGCACGCTTGGCGAATGAAGATGGCGTTCCTGATAAGGACCTTCTGATTGCTCCTCATTTGTATTATTACTGAGGACGTTTCTATTTGAGGACATGCCAGAGGGCCAACAGATGCAGGGTGCCATGTTCCGCTCTCAGCTAAATCGGGAACTCAGGGAGTAACATATGCGTACAGCTTGTCAGCAAGACGTTTTCTTGCCTCTCTGACTCGATACAGAGCAATTTTTGATATTTCTGAAGGAGCTCAGGGATGGTGGTTCACCAATATCAAGTAGCGCTACCGTGGTCGGCGGAATCAATGATAGAGTGATTCAACCGGACATTCTGATTCTGACGAAAAGCAATCTCAAGACAGGGGAACAGAAAAAGGCCCAAACATCACCTCAACTGCTAGAGAAGGTACATTACGCCTGCAGTCTTCGTAAATTCGGATATTCCTTGACTGCCAATTCTTCCTTCTTCCCCATAATGGAATCTGCGGTGACGTAATGCAGCTAAGTAAGTTTTTGGCCAGACCATCGGGAGATGTGGTCTCAGTACTTCCCACGAACT